GACTCGATGGCACATAACAACAACAACAACATCATATTAACTATGCTTCTTAATATGAGAAGGATCATTTCACAAAGAATAACTTTCCTCTGATTATCACTGAATTTATACCTGAAGCTTTTCTTTGCTCTTGGGTTATCCAATTGTAAACATGGTGAGAAGGGAGAGTTTGTCTCCTATCCTTTAAGTCAGGAGGAAGACTGATCAAGGAGAAAGATCAAACACAACAGTGGGAGACTGATTTCTATGAGATAGAGCTCAAATATGTCTCCATCTGCCAACCTTTTCACTAACTGTGACAACAACAGTTCCTTTCCATAGCATTCTCTACTTCTTTGCTTGGTACAATGATTCGTTGCAATGGCCACACAGAACCAACAGAGTACACTTACAATTATAGAAGTTATTAGGTTAGTAGTTGTTGTTGTGTGCCATTGAATCAGAACCAATCCATGGCTGACTATCCAGTGGGTTTTCAAAGGCAGTTTTACTGGAGGAGAATATCCAGCCTTCTACCATGGAGTAGCTGGTGGCTTTGAACCCACAACCTTCATGATTGCAGCACAGCTTTTTACCACTAGGCCACCAGAGCATTATTAGGTTAGTTGGTGTGTGCCATCGAGTTGGAACCAACCCACACCTGACACTTCAATGAGTTTTCAGAGGTAGTTAATCACACGGGAGGAGACTGCCCGTCTTTCTCCCATGGAGATGCTGGCAGATTCAAACCACATGCCCCAAGATTGCAGCATGGCTTCTTACCACTAGGTCACCAGGATACACTTCTTTGATCAGGACAACCTCTCGTCATTCAGTGCATCACCTTTGTTTCTTGAATCTGTAAGACCCATTCAGGAAAGTTGTGCTAACAGATTCGACAAGGCTTTTCTGCTGCTTTGTTTCACAGCAGGAAGGTAAATGGCATATCTATACAGAAAGGGTTCCTTGATTACCATATCTGACATGACATGTGTAAGGGCCTACTTACTGGATGAATAGCCTCACCATTAACCCATTCACTGCACCCCAGTACTCTTTTTTATATTTTAGGCTTTCTGAAGGTCTGATGGCATAGTCTGTAGGGAGTTGCATTGCTTACCCAAAGACCATAACTCTCTGGAAATTCAAATTCCCTAGAAACTCCTTTGAGAGAAAGTTGAGCAATCTCCTTCAGGATGATTTATAGCCTCGGAAACTCAACAGAGTCAGCAATGAGTCAGTTCCAATTCAATGGCAATGGAATAAGTGAGTGATTCCCTTCAGTTACATAAACTTTAACATGATTAATTTGCCCCGGAAAGACACACATAAATTCCAATCCCAAGGTGATCTCTGGTGGCCTAATGGTAAAAGCTGTACTGCAATCCCAGAGGTGCACGGCTCAAATCCACCAGATGCTCGGCTGGAAAAGGAGGAACAACTTCCTTCTATACCTGTCAGATCCAATTTGATGGTACACACACACACACACACACACACACACAAATAATAAAAAATTAAAAAAATTCCAATCCCAAAAATGCTTATTTTGGAGACACATGTTGATTCACATATTAAATAAGAGTATGCTTTAAGGTGATAGTAAAGGCTTCACTTTTCCTTCTGTGATGACTATTAGCACAGTCACTAAAGGTAGCATTTATTTAGTCTCTAAAACCAAACACATTCAATTTTATTTCTTATACTTTACTGAACAGTAAAGAAACCCAAGTCATGGTAAATGTCATTGTAATAATGTTTTAATACAGAGATTAAAAAATGTGTGTGGGTGTTATGCATATTAGAAGTTTATGAAAACATGTATATTGTTTAAAGTAGTTCACTGCAAGATACTGATGTTAAAAATTGGAAGTTGTGTTGTCAGTTGAAAATGAGAAACTAGGGAGAAATTGTTAGGAAAGCAGTAGAACATTTCCTGCCCGTGGGTGCAATCTTGTGGACGTGTGACGGCCATGACGAATCCAACAACCATCACCACAGCACCAATGAGAAGCATGACAAAGGACATAATCTTATCTGAGTGCATCCTTGGCTCTTCAGACAGCTTGAGATAGCATGCTGATGGAATGATAAAAATTAGAGGAGCTGCACAGAGCACACCCTGTGGGTTAGAAACAAGGGGGGAAAGACAACTTTACCAAACTGAAATGTTCTTTGGAGATATTTTTTAAGACGTTGTTGCAATTGTATGCATATATATAATTTTTAATAGGTTCAGATGAACACAAAACAAACAAACAAAGAGAAAAAGAATTCCAAAAAAGATTTAAGAACAGGTTTTTCCTTTTCTGATGGTATATTTAGAAAAACAAACAAATTATGAAAGAAAAAAGCTTACAAAATTGCATTGGATTTAAAAATTGATCAGAAAAATAACATAGAATATTGAGAAGCTGATAAGGTCAACTGACAAACTTAAAATTTCCCAAGTTTTAACTTATATAATATTTCATGTAATCTTCACTTTAAATTAGAATTATTTGTACTATGTTTTTGTAGTTATAGCCAATTCAATTACATTTAAGAGGGAAAGTCAATATACTGGATATATTGTATTATATTTCTTCTTGAGCATGTATTAAAGTGGATGAAATAGCACTTGTAGATCTTTCCATTAAAAGCAAACATATTAATTACCTCAGAAACATAACAACAGTTGAATTTAACTCATTCATTAATCCCAGTATTAGCTTATAGATATATCCAACCTATGGGAAAATATCAGATTGAAAAGAACCGCTAGTAGGGCTGCCTGTGAGTTGTCTGTTCGACAGTGGTAAATTCTAATTAAAGAAACATCTTCTTGCTGGAAAAAGATGTAACAGTATACTTGGAAATCACTTTTAAGTCAGTTCTACCCTGGTCTTTCAGCTCACTGTGAATCCGAATCTATTAAATAGGTTTGGTTTTGCAATTTAGTGTTGTCTATTATAAAAATACCAAGAGTTAGTGGTTTCAAGGAATTGGGAAAAATAAAAAGACTTTTCCCCTCAGTAGGTTTCGTTCATAACAGAAACATATGTAAATATTAGAATTAAATATATTTCAGGTAATATATTTAATCCTGTTGTTACTTGCACTGTAGTCAGAACTGAGTTAGAGCTGACCCTCTAGCAGAGTTCTAGAGGCTGTAAACCACTTAAGAACAGATTGCCCATCTTTCTACCAAGGAACATCTTATCTGGTGGATTTGAAGTACTAACCTTTGGAATGGCAGCAGAACTCCTTATCCACTAGGCCAAAAGAGCTCCCTATATTTTTTGTCTTAATTTTATTATATATTATATTATATTATATTATATTATATTATATTATATATTATACTATCATATTATATATATTATTAATAAAATGCATAAAATATAACATTGATAAGGGTTATCTTCCTACTACAAAGTACCTTTTTAAAAAAATATACCATCAGTAACATTATGATATTGAGTTAAAACACAAGTGTTCCATTAATATACATGCTTTGCTCTATTATCATGGAAATTTGTCAATATAGATAAAAATAGAAAGAAAACTCTAAGTACCTATTGTCTGTGCTTTTAAAGCTTTTTAATACATTCTTTTGGGATCTTTTTCCCAGCAAAAATCATGGCTAATCAATTTAGAAGTTTGATGACATAAAATAGCTTCCCCTCCTAAAAACCCCACCCAAACTCAACTACTGTGGAGTTGGAGTTCATTTCATCTTATAGTAGTCCATTAAAACAGAACAGACTTGTCTATTTGGGTCTCAAGCTTGTGAATTTTAATAGGAGCGGTTTGCCACATTTTGCTTCCACAAAATGACTGGTGGTTTTTAACCGCTGACCTTTCACCTCGCAGACCAACACTTAAACCACTATGCCACTAAGGCTCTTATTAACTCAAAAAAATTTTTAATATACTATCATTTTAATACAATTATTTAAGAAAATTGTTCTAATTCATATGAAGCACCATAACCACTCCTGAAATACACTTAGTTCTGTAGTTCAAAAAATATAACTTTTTAAAAAACAAAATCTGCAAAAATCCAGAGTAATTACAAGTAAAGGGAAGATTTTGTGGAATCCTGGGGAGCCCACCTCACTGTCATTTAGCCACCCATCATGTTTCTGAGGCTGTAAATCTTAACAGGAAGAGACTGCTTTTCTTTCTCTGGTGGAGCTTCTGGTGGATTTGAACTGCTAACCTTTAATAGTGCAAGATAATATATATGACATGTATGTAGCAATGTTACATACTACACCACTCAGTCCATGGGAGAGAGATATGATGGTCAGCTTCCATAAAGATTTACAGTTTTGGATACTCTGTGGAGCAATTATGCTTTCCTCCAGGGTTGCTTAGACTTGGAGTCTACTTGATAGCAACTAGTCAATATGAAATCATGCTATACATGCAGCATCCAAAAATCTAGGGAAGACTAGGAGGTCTACTTTCATAGAAAATGTTTCTACAGTAAGAGACAAAAACCAGGCCCACTAACATTGAGTTGATTTCAACTAATAGCAACCCTAGAGGACAGCATAGATCTATCGCATAGGGTTTCCAGATCTTTACAGAAGCAAACTGCCTTATCTCTCTCTACCAAAGTGGCTGAGGATTTCTGACAGCTAACATTTGGATTAACAGCCAAATTAACCACTATGTTATCATAGGACTTGTGATGTTGTTGTTGTTGTTACGTGCCATCGAGTCGCTTGTGACTCATAGTGACCCTATGTACA